ACCTCCTTCTGGAAATGTGGCAGATCCCGAAAAAAACAAGTTCTGGGGAAATAATTTTTCAAAAATATCACAAGGTTTGCTCTAAAGCCCATTTAGCTAAGTCTGCTGCTTCTGTCCACCACACTGAAAATTGCTAGTAAAATTGCCTGGCAAATGCTAGTAATCCTGAATATGAGTCTCTGTGAGCTGAACACCTACACTATAGTTTGGGCAGTATTTCTTTAAGCCGTCTAAATTGCTAGGCATTGTAGATTGCCTGAAAATGAAGCCACAAAGCACTTTGATACTTCTACCTGGGAATACTGTCTTCAGATTTCAGTTCATCTTCTAAAGATCTAAAAAATAATAACTTGGGATGGAAAATGGAAATACAAACATAAAACTAATTTTTGAGAGGAAGTATTTGAAAGTATTCATTCCAGGATTGCACTTGATATTGGATATCCAAGACAGATTTAGTTTTGCTCACTCCAGCTACTCAACTGGAAGATGCAATGATGCAGACGAATCCTGTGCTTGCAATCTCAGGTAAGTTTATACATGTTTCTAGTTCCAAAGGTCTGCAGAATGGAAAACCCTATGTCTGCTCACACAGATGCAAATGTGTGTTGCAAAAAAAACCCGTATAAAGAGCTGCAGATCTTTGCTATAAAAGACAATGCCACAAAAATTATCTAGTGCAACAGGAAGAGCACAAAAGAGAGCAGTGTTGTCTTTTGTCATATTCCAGCGGCTAATCTAGCAAACGTGAGAGGCACAAGAGAACGTCTACACTGGAAAGTCTACACTTTTTGTTTTAAGTGTGTCAGTCTAACACTGGGTACTAAGAGTTGGAGAGGATGTTTGAAAAGGAAGGGGGGCATTCCAGTTTTCTGAGATACGTTGTCAGGATCAAACTGATTTTTCTCCATGGTGGCTATAGCCTGGTGCTCTGACTATGCATCCCACAGCCTGTTTCTGTGTAAGACATGCTACTCTTAGGAAAATACATTCATTTCAAGAATACCATGACATAGAAATGTCAGAAGAAATGGTTTCTTCTTGTCTGATAGATAGTCTGAAAGGCAAAGCAAGTTTATATGACTCTCAAAGGTCTGTTCACAAGAAGGTAACCCCGTCTGCAAGAAATCTCTTATTTATTCAGGATTGTCTGTTATGTTTTAAAGTTTGCCTCCCACTGTCTTCTGACAAGTATGGAATCAGCACTGCTTGAAAAAGCTTCTAGGAAACAATATATTTGATATACTGGTTTGATGACTAATCAGCATTCTGTCTTGCTCCACCGCATCCAATCTAAAGAAGTGATTTATTTGTGTGTTTGAAGATGAAATGCAAATCTTCAGTAATTGCATTCAGACAGCTGTGTAGTATAAACCTATGAAACCACTCCATTGTACTGTCAGCTAAAATTGACCATCCCATAGATTTATCAGCAGAACACAAAGTAATTACTTTGTCACATCTAGCGTTTAGGAACATGAGGAGGAGGGCGTTTGAAAAGCCCTAGCAGGAGATTAGAAAAAAGATGCATATCTGACCCAGCACTGATGGTGATTTTACCATTAAATTCACTGATAGCAGAATTAGAACAGAATTTTGCATTTTGAATGTGACCTATTACCTCTTATACAGGTGCTTAGCTATCGCAAAGATAACAAGTATAAAGGTACTCAGAAAAAAGATTTCAAATGTTTGGATAAATACTTAGAGTTTTGCTATCTGTGCTTTACATGCTTATATTCTATTTTGATCTCTGCAGTCAGGAGCAAAATTGAATATAACATTTGTGGAGAAAATAGAAGATATGTTTCACAGAGCTACCTGTTCAGCCGCAGCACTAATTTTCCTACAGCAAAAAAAAAGTGTAAATGTTTTTTTTTTTTTAAATTTAAAAATGCATATTTTAAAAAAAAAAAAATCCATCCAGCATCTCTCAGGACGGTGAACAGCTGCAAGAGGAAACAAGTTCAGTACAGAAACTTGGTGCCTGAGTTCTACCGTCACTGCCAGTTGAGCATGTTCTATAGAAACAGGTTAATGGAACCTAAAAATCTCATTTAAATATAATTCAATTGCAGTACAAACCGACTGAATCCTTTTCTGCTTTGAACCTTAACTTTTTAGAATAAGTCTAAAATCAGGAAAGACGTGCTGAAGGTTAAGCATGAAAGAGCTTTTGTGACTCAAGTTAAAAATTTGCCTAAATGTTTAGTTTAATGTACAAATAAAATCAGGGATTCTTGCCACAGCTGATGGCTCCCCGAGAGGAAAAAGGTAAATTGCTAAAGGAAAAAAAAATTCAATTGCTATTGGATAGATGAATGAATGGAGGTACCACAGTATTTGCAGACATGTCAGATTTTGTGAAAGCTGAGTATCTATGAGAAGGAAGTGGATTTGCTTTGCAGTGTTTGCTTGCCCGATTGCTTGCATTGCTACATAGATAACACCACTGCTGTGGAGAACATATGTACGTCATGGATCTTGTGGGAGACTACCTTTTCCCATTCAGCCCCCAAAGTACTGTGTTTTTTTAAAGTTTGTAAGGTCATGATTGCTTTATTTTTAAAAAAAAAAAAAAAAAAAGAAAAGAAAACAAAAAACCTCTCTACCTGGGCAATTTGCTACATCCCTTTAAAATACTAAGTTATAACAACATCATTTATATGGTTACATAGGAATCACCATTCAAATTATGTAACTCCCTCAATTTTTTGCAGATGGGTCTTCTCAACTTACCTTAGCTCCTAATATCACCCTAGAAAGTCCAAGATTTCTCTGCAGTAGAAGGATCTTGCTGTCAGATCTTGAAGGATCTTAAGGGATAGTCTCGTACAGTGTTAATGACAAATACTATAATTCTGTGTTTTTCTTTATCAGTTGCATTTTCAGGCCTTGGCTTTACCACCTTCTACTTAGCTGGAAAGTTACACTGCTTCACGGAAAATGGCCGGGGGAAGAGCTGGCGGCTTTGTGCAGCAATTCTCCCGCTCTACTGTGCCATGATGATTGCCTTGTCACGTATGTGTGATTACAAACATCACTGGCAAGGTGAGCCATGGAAATACTTTTTTTCTGCTTTTATTTTATTAGCCTTTTATTTCTTTGATTTTTTTTTTTTCATTAAATCACATGAGTTACAACATGATAGTATGCTATAGATTTTCCTTGCTCCTGGATTGATGCCTAGGGTTTCAATGTCTAAAAATACTGCAGGGGCCCTTTACCGTTCTGTATTTTATATACACAATGTACATCATCGTATTTATATATAAATCTACATCAGTGGTTTTTTTATATCATCATTTTTTACAAATGCACATCAGTGCTATAGCCATCTTGGATGGATCCAGCTGTAGGCTGGATCTGGCCCATGAAAGTAGCTCTGTCCTGTGGCCTAGTCCTTGCCTACTGCTTTTCCAGGTACCTGCTGGGTACCTGCTGGGTACATGAGTGATTGCTAATATGTGGTTGCATGTGCATTAGACTAGACTGAAGCGTCTGCGTGTAGCTAGTCATTGCAAAGATGCACTCGGTCATTTGTCTACGTTCTGGTCATTTGGTGCACATGATGTAATACACTGTTTTTCATTCAACTCAAAGTATATTGGGCATAAGGTGGGTTCACGGCCCCTCCTTGAGAAGTATAGAAACATTGCATACCAAGCTACATAGCACAGGTTGTAACAGGTTCTGCCCACACTGAAAACCTTGCTGCAGAGTTTGATGTTTTCTGTTCTCTGAATTTTTTTGGCTAAGTTGTAATTGCTCCCACATTGTCAATTCCACACTTCCCGAAGTCAGGTCCTACTTAAGGAGGAGAAATGTTTCATCTTCTTCTTACATCCTGTTAAAAATGATTTTCCATAGCTTTGGGCTGCAAATATTTCAAGGTTGATATTTTGTCATACTGACTGGATGTTAGTGTGATGGATTCAGTATGGTACCATAGTACCATACATGTGGTACCAATGCATATTCATTAATTTGTAACTGCAAATAAATGCTGAATGTATTCAGTATGGATGAGTAGGTCACTGAAGCAGCATGCAGTGTCTTTTTTGATCGTAAAGTACATCCACAAAGCTAAAGAAACCTGCCACACAATCTTAAACCTTACCTTTGTGAGGGAATGACAGTTATTGACAGAATGGGAGATGGCTCGTAAGACTAACAGCAGCATTTGATATGTGGGTGAGTTGTATAAAATGTCTGCTCTTGGATGAACCTGCATCCTTAAAAGTACATACAATGAACAACGGGATATTCTTAAGTGAAGCATCGTCAGTCTGAAGGATGCTTAATCCTTATCTCTTTGTCATTTACTTCTTGTTGTTTCTAGTTGAAACTTTCGATCTTCATATGATGTGAGCATTCTCATGTAAATGAGGCATTGTTATAATGCAATGTAACTAGAGCAGATACCTTTCAGGAGGTTTCTTAGTGAAGTTGAATTAACTAGCACTGACCTTCATAGCTTCAGGGCTATGCCGCAGCATCCTCTCTTCCCTCACGGTAGGCTCTTCTGGAGTGCGACTTCAGTCAGAGCAGCTGCATCTGTCACAGGAAGACTGTTGTCTCAGAGTCCTTTAAAATGCAGGTGTGAGATGTAACTGATATAGAAGGTTATGCTATTTATTAATTACACACTTATACTACTAAGTTACAATTCTATGACTTCATTCTGTTAAGTCAGAATTACACCACGCCTTACCCTCCCACACTGAGTCTTTCAGACATGGACCTGCTAGAGAGTCTGGCAGGTTGTCCACATGGCTTCCCTTCAGCGTCCACAGGTCAGTTTACTACTGTCTGTCAGCATCTACACTTTCACCATCAGAAAATCCTACCATCTATTATTTCTTTTACCATTTCTTGACCCTCTTTTTCACTGCCTTTGTACCTGCCTTTCTCCACTCACATCTCCTCCTAAGTAAACCAGCCTGTAATTACTTTTTCCCTATTTATCCCCATATTCCTATCAGAAATACCAGACTTGGTATTTCTAATGCTGTTACATAGGTCATCTTGGCTTTATGTGTATTGCTGGTATGGTACTGCTGGCCTTGCAAATTATACTCTCCTCAAGGTCCTGCGTGCTCCTTTCAATTATCTGCTTCATACTGGTTGCATATTGTTTACCTGTTTTCTAAGACGTATCATTCTGTTGGTTCCTCTACATAGTTTCAATTAAGTACAGCATATCTCTGTCCCACTGAGCATTTCTTATCTCATACTGCAGTCAGCATACTAGAGCAAGACTCATCCATGCTTTTTCTTGCTCTGTTTTTTGTGTTCGTACAGCATCCTGTTCTCCCATAGCTGCTTAATCACTAACCATTAGCCTTGACACGTTCTTTAAGGACTCTCCTGGTTTCCTGCAGAGGCCTTGTCTTGTTACAGGGCTCATTACTCTTCTTTGCTCACCAACACTTGGAGTCGGAGAGAGCCTCCAGCACAAAGCTGCTGAACGTGAGGTGTGTGCCTCGCCAGGACGGAGGGCAGAGTTACGAATCTCATGCTCGATGTGTGACACTTGGCTGGTTTGAACTCTCCGTTAAAGAGAGAGAGAGAGGAGTGTGAATGAATGTGAATGGGAGTGTACAGGTTTACTCGCAAGTTTTGAAGGCATTTGCAGTTTGTACTATCTCTTGCCAAGAGTAAGAATTATTTATGTACTGAAACATGTACTATGAGGCAGATTATTATGGTGTATTTTATATATGATAGAAAAAAAACTACACCCAAGGGATTGTCACTGTGTCCATTACAGCCGCTCATATTTTTGTCTTTGAAGCTTAAGGAGATGGAGCTGAAAACTCAGCTCTTCCCAAGCTAAGAACAGGGCTGGCAGACATTATCCTGCAGGTGACCTATGCTTTTACCTGAAAGAACTGCCTTCTCAAGGGAGAGACTAGTTTACTCTCTAATATACAGCACAGAAGCTCAGGCCTCGTCTTTTACACTCAGCAGAGTCAACCGATTGTGTTAAATTACTTACAGTGGCTTTGTGATAGAGTCTTAACTATGCCGTGGGGAGTGAACAAGGACCATCAATATAATGTCCAAGACTTAGCATACTGTAGGTGAAAGATGGAGTGGAGTATCCTTACATTAAAAAGCCATTGAGTGGTCTCAGAACGTTAATATTATGAGTACTTTATGAGCTCCCTTCAGTTTGGCTGGAAAATGTAGTACTCAAGATCTTAGTGTTGGTATTGGTGAATATTAGGATGTTTCATTATGAATCGTGAACGTATTGACTGCTCTTAATCCCTAGATCTCTGTATAGGCTTATAACTCTGAAAATGTTAATTTACTGGTGAAATAAGTGGACATTTTGTATGAAAAAAAAGTAAAGATAAATACTGAGATTGAAAGAATATTCTTTTTCCTTTATGGGCAAAGGAAAAAAAAGGGAAAAAAAGGAAGCTAGGGCTACCATGAGCTCAAACAAAACACAAAATTGTTGTCTTCAAAAACAGGAGTCAAAATAGCTGCCTGTGTATTTGCTCAGTACCCCCGTCAAGGTCAGTAAGCGAGAAATCTTTGGCATAAGTCATGTAGTGAATTTGTATTACTGTGGTGCCCAAACTGAGGCCCAGAGTTGCATAATTTGCATGTAACTATTTTGAAAGAAATTATCTAGGCAACTTTTCAGCAAGTCTTGAGATACTGGGGAACTTACAGAGGGCTGGCAGAAATCTGGTGTTTCTCCGTAATTAAAAAAAGCAAGCATAGGCTTGACCTCATTGTTAAGCAAAATAAAAAAGCAGCTGGAACAGGATTCAATCAACCACAGTTAAAGGAGGGTAATCTGAGAATTGCAACCAATGCAGGTTTATAGAAAATAAATCTTGTCACAGTAACTAAATATTTTACAAGTTGACTGATACTGTAATAGTATACTATAGTGAAAATTCTTGCCTTTGGTACCTTTTGTACCATGACAGTTTGACAGGGACAGTCCAAATGGTGCAAAATCAGTCAGCTACCAGAATGGGTAGGATAAGCTTCTGTCTGCTTGCAAATACTGTGTACACACAATCACCTTTTAAAATCTTACTTGAGCCTCTATTACATTTGTTTGTGATAGGTTATGTCCTTTTGCGTGTAGGAAGAGAACACAGGATTAGAAGAGATCTCCTAGGTCATTCAGTCTAGTCCTCCTCCTCAACAGACAACTGTGACTTATAACCACATTTCTTAAATTTATCCATCTCAATCTTAATTTTTTCATGTTTTCTTGCCCTAGCTATTCCTGTTAAAAGGCTCTTCAGAATCTCACTCCTCTGATGATTACACGCCATTTACTACCCACTGAAAATTGAACAACATGCCCTTTGTCCTAATATATAATAGACTGACAAACTAGGGCATTTAATCCGTATTTGGCTATTTTAGACAAAAATAATTTGTATTGATTAACCCTTCTTTGTCATTAAACTCAACGATTCGCTATTTTTATTACACTGTGGTTTCTTCGTAACTGAAAATAAAATACAGAAACACAGGTATACATAGATGATACGGTGCTTAGTAAGCCTTATTTAAATAAAACATGGTGTCAGGTCATATTCTAGCTGGTGCCTTTTGGGTCATTTTCTTTATTGTTTGTGTTCAAATCTGAGGCTTTCAAAGTCAGTGTGTATTCTCAGTGAAGTTTTGCTCTGGTTGCTTGAAAATGAAACACAAGATCAGGCGAGTATATTAGCAAGAAGCAAGGAGAACCTGACAACACAACAAATCCTTTTACCCTTCAGGTGCTATGCGGTTCCCATGGAAAACTTAAAATTGCCCATGTGTGAGAGCTGCAAATATCTCATTCAATGGCCTTATTTTATTTTAACTGATTTTATTTTCTGGTAGGAGTATGGGATAGTAAATAGCATCAAAGAAAGATATTCAAAAGGTGTTAAATCAGTTAACAGGCGTGCTTAGTCTTTGACCTTTCAGGTGCTTTTAGGAAGAATTCACCCAGCTTGAAATTGTTCTTGACAGCTGTCTTTTTCAGGGGCCTTTCAGGAGCTGCAAGTGAAATGAGTTGTTGTAGCTACAGTGACCCACTTCTTGAAGGAAGATAATTTTCCATCCTACATCCTACCTGCTCCCTGTCTGCATTGGAGAGGATGCCTTCTGGAATACAAAACAGTCAAAAGTAGAGCTGGCATTTTAGCTGCCATCTTTCCTGGGGGTACTTAGGCAGAGACAAGGAGCAGGCTGTAGTCAGTGCAGTAGTTTGAGGTGTACCTGTCAGCGGGAGAGCTCTGGGTGCTGTAAACAGCATCGTTCAGCTGTATTGTTCATAAATAGAAAACCTGGTGGTGGTCATTGTAAGTTATGGCAAACTGAAAGAAGACATGTGGGTTGCCTCCCCTGAGCTGGAACGTCATGAATTTTTAATGCCCCACAGAAATCATTCTATTTCCCTTGTTCATCTCCTGAAACATAGCCAACCATCTATATTTTGGGTATTCAAAATGTTGGAGGTGTCCCCCCAAAAATACTGATTTTATGTGTTCTACGTGATTGTGGTATTCGGCTCCAAATTCTTTATGAAAATTTGTTCATATATATGAAAAGTCCGTATTTCCTGGATTAAACACTTCCAGGTCAACCAAAGGTCTTTTATTTACAGTTGTCACTACTGGCTGTCCTTTCCATGGTAACGTTACTTCTGGTTTTGTTGCTTTTCTTATCTAGATGCTTTCGTTGGAGGGATCATTGGCCTCATTTTTGCTTATATTTGCTACAGACAACACTACCCTCCTTTGGGTAATACAGCTTGTCATAAATCTTACGTCAGCCTGCTAGATCAGAACTCTGTGAAGAAAGAAGAGAGACCTACGGCAGATAATGCTACTGGCCTGCCTCTAGAGGGAATAACTGAAGGTCCTGTATGACTTTAAGAAATGTGCAGAATGAACTTTTAGCCTTCTCACATTTCCTCCAAACTAGTCTCTTAACATGGTGTTTCTTACTGTACATGTTTTTTCTTCTGTTTCTTTCCTTTTTATAAAAAAAAGAAATATTTTATTTTTAATGCCATAATATCATCATACTTTTAAAGTTCAGTTTTCAGTTCATATTGACTTACTGAATTATCTGTTTTCAGTCTACAGACAGACTACTTGAAGGAATGGGAAAGAACATTAATAAAAACAATCCCATGTGGAGAATGGTTAAGAGAGTAATTTTAAGAAGATGTGGTTGAGGATATAGTAGATCTGGAAACAGATTTTCTGAAGTACTGATTGTCTCCTAGAAAGTTCTGGTCATCCTCAGCACTCATTGATTTTGATGGGTGATGAGTCCACATAGCACTTTTCATCAGATGTTCAGCATCTGTTGTGGCCAGCCATTTCTTTATATAATTTGATAAGTTGGGCATCGTCCTTATGTTTATCTTGTTACCTTCTAACATAAAAATCTCCACATGCTGGTAGAACTTCGTATTAATTGTCAAGTTTTGACAAGGTCATTCTGAGCTACTAATGATCAAGCAACCGAAAGGAATGAATAGTTAAGTGTTTGTAAGAGCCAAGCCTTGTGCATTAGTAGTTCCACAGGACGATGCTGACATTCAAGAAATCCCACACTGTTAAAATTGTCAGCTTGCAATAACATATATGTTCATAGGATGGATTAGAAATTTGGTATTACATCATTAGCAATTTTTTGAGAGCTCTTGCAGTAATTACCGTCAAAACAAAATGAAAGGAAAGAACACCCATGACATTCAACAAGCTGAAGTCTTTAAAACAAATTTTAAAAAGTCCTAAAACTGTGAGGATAAAGAAACACAATGTTTTCTGTGAATCTCGGTATGCCATGTTCATTCTTGTGTAGTGACTCACTGCAGCGTTGGTGATCTAAAGAAATGCAAAGATTTTCATTTGTGACTTTGGGCGCACAACCATTGAATGCTTGTGGTGGTCTCCAGCACTGTAACATATCCAGAGGAATGCTGGAGACAGTTTTCCACTAGACCCATTCCACATTTTCAGCTCATCACGTTCTTGAGCATGGTGTTTGCGAAGGTTGGCTTGGTACCTGAATTGAAACTCACCTGAATCAAACCACTGTTGGTATGGAGAAGATTACTAAGTGTATGACCTTAGTTAATTTATTATTGGTAGGATCCTGTTTTGTTATGTATGCACTATGCAGTATACATCACATTCCTGTGAAATGATGTACCTTTGGATGGCAGAATGTCAGATTCCAGATTTTTTTTTCTTAGATATTCTGTGAAAATGCAGGCAAATGTTCCAGACCACATCTTGGCAGTTGAACATTTCTTAGCCGGAGCTGCTGGTTAAAGCGATCAAGATAGCGTTGATCAACGACCATTATTACGGTGCTTTAGACTGGAGGAGACTGCTGCCATAATTATAATTCCTGTGTTCCTGTTGGAATATGTATTGGCCTTGTAGGCATTTTGTGATTCAAACAGCTCAATGTCTTTATGTAAAGCTTGTCATTTACTTTTCTCAAAGGTAAGCTTTGTAGATTTTTTGAGACGCGCTACTTCCTGATTGGCAACACCTGAATTTTTATAGAAAGCAAGTAAATTAGAATCCCTTCAAAAATAAATGTAATAATTGTGTACAAGAGGATGCAACCATACTATATATAAACTTATATGATATTTGGAAATAACTATAAATAGGAAACGACATTAAGAAACAGAATGTAGTAGGAATGAACCCAGGAGGGTTCTGTAGAAATTAGGTGTGATCTACTTGTAAAACTGATACCAGTTTGACTGTGTCAGTTAGAGGTAGGATTTTTTACTGACAGTTACATCATTCTGAGCTCTCGAATAGAGACAGTTACCCAAACATAACTGTGTTTTTGCTGGTGTGTATATGCTAGTTCACAAAACTAGCATCGGCAAAGCAAAATTATTCTGGCATTGCATTTGCACTGGATTTGACAGAACACTTCTCTAGTGTAACTGAAGTCTTATTCTAGAAATCCACACAGTTTAGTGGAGGTTTAATCTTTCTATAAAGTTTTGAAACCATCCTACAGAATTCTGTAACAGGGATATCATTTTCTATTACTTCATATGGGAGGATTAATGAAAGCCCTAGAGTAAGGGTGTCATGTCTTTACATTGTATAGGGCTTAGCCATTAGCTTTTTCTTTCAGCAAAAACCAGGTTATATGCAAATGTTAAAAAAAATCTTAAATCAAAATTAGAAGTTTAATACTGATGCATAGAGCACTTTGCATGTTTTTTTATAGATCTGGCTTATTCTCAAAAATGAGTGGGGCCTCCTAACTGTGCTGTACACATTCCCAGTATTTTAATGGCTTTTGATACAAACAAGCTATCTTCTTCGGGATGGGGAAAGCTTATACAGCCCTCAAATGAGTAGTGGCTGTTAAAAGATTGGACTCTGAAGTGTAATGCAGCATAAATACTTACATTGCAAGAGTAATTGGTGAAATTTGCAAAGCAGTAAAGAATAACATATTTTAATGGGAATAATTAAATTGAAAGTCATAAAATAGACAATGTAAAAGCTTTGATTAAAATGTAATTAAAATTATGAAAGACTTAATGAAGTGAAACTTGTGGAGGGATCTGTAGGCGCTGTAATTACCGGTGCAAAGTCAGTGTAGGGAAAATGTGGATCAATGTATTTTAATCTCATGCTTTCTCAATGTGAAGGAAATGTAATGTTGTAATGCACCAATAAAACAACACATGAATGTGGGTTTGTACATCTGTGTGTTATCATTTTTTTGAGAAGAATAAAAGTTACCGGGTTAGTTTCATTAATAAACCGCATGGAGCATTGCAAAAAAACAAGCCCTAATGTGACTGCATATTGATAAACAACAACAGTTCCAAAAGTTGTCACTGATACCACTAAAATGGAACAGCCTTCCTCCTTTAACCAAAATATGCTATCCAGCTTTCATCCAAGAAAATGTGCAGTGTAAGTCTGCAAGGTTGAAATTTTGAAATATTCAACCGCCTAAACTGCAACAGGTCCCTTTCATCTGTCAAGTTCCATATCTCAAATAATACTAGGAGTGCCACAATAACAAATGTGATTAGACTAGAAAAGAATTAAAAAACCTAACAGAACATAGCAGAAATATTCTGAAACCAGTAGAAGTATGAGATTGCAAACCAGTCAGCGAAATGTCCCCGTCGTGAATGCATATCTCGGGCAATGTGTTAGGAGCGTTTATGCTGATTCATTCTCAGATTTTGTTGTGTGCAATTTAGTCTGATTTGGCCCTCTGTTCTTTCCCCGGGCATAGAGCAAGTTCCTTCTATTTAATGTGAAAAAAAAAAGAACCTCATTTTCCTTTTTTTTTCCCATAACTAAAATATACTATATGATGGATTTAAAAAAAAAATTTTAAAAAGCTTTATTTTTGTTTTATGGTACTAAAATTCCATTGACTTCAGTGGAACGGCTCTGGATCACTAAGCACATCACAGAGTTTTTGCTCACACTCTTACATTTCTAGGAGTATAATTAGCAAAATACTGCAACCAATTTGTCTGCAATTGTGTTTTCTTGTGATAACATATATCTCTCCTGAGTTAGAAAACTGTTGGGTTGCTCTGACCTAACGGAAAGGGAAAAGTCATGAACACAGAGCATCAGGATGATGGAAGTGAAAAGGTTAGACACGTGTTTCTGTTGCTTTTGATGTTCAGAATGTGTTCAGAATTGCCACAGGCAATAGGTAACAATGATTATAAAATTTCTGTATTACCTGCTCACCAGTGCTACTGCTTAGAGCAGTGCTGTGCCGGCTGGGACAAATACAGTACGGGTCCTGTATTGAAGAGTTACGCTACGTTTACATTAATTCACGGAAAGAAAACAGAAATTCTGCTCTTCGTTACACCAGTGTAAACACTGCTGTATTGCATGCAGTTACTTCACAATAATACTCTTCTTATCAAAGCAGAATTTGAGAGTCTTCTGTCACTGTCATTTGCTTCCAGTAAACTCTCATCAACTTAAAACGTGAAAAAGAGAGCCTGTAGTTCCTTTCCAGACATATATGTTATATTGCAGCAGTCATCCGGGTGTGGGCGTGCTCTGAACAAAGTTTCAGGGCTTGTGTGCCTAAACATTTGTCTTGGGAAGGATGGTCTAGAGAGTCACAGTTGCCACAGAAAATTGACCACACTGAAATAGCATTGCTTCACCTTCAGGGTCCATCTGTATAATGGAGAATAGAGAGGTTTAAAAGCAGCATGAATGTCCGTTCTTGATCCTATACACCCTCATAACAGATAATTTATTTCTTGCAAGAGAAAATGCTAAACACTTGTTATTTTTCTCCAGAATTCTCATTGACCAAAGAGTCTAAGCATCCTCTCCAGATGTTCCAGTGGTTTTCTCTGATTTTTTTCTCAATTCTCTTAGAAAGGCAATTTTACATATAGGCAGCTCCCTTTATTAAGAACACCTTGAAAAATTCAGAACAGTATAAATGAAATTAAAAAATTAAGCATATAAATCAAAATTAACAAAATTTGCAAAATTCAGTTTTACGCAGGGAGAGCAAGAGTATCTCATGTTGATCAAATGTTATTTGTAATTATGCATTCGATGGGATTGTAATCTTAAGGTAATGCTGTGAAATAAAATTCAAGGCTGTGCTAATATGCTTTAAGTCCAGAAAGAACAAAATTATATAAATAAACAACAGGATAGCTAGTGGATTAGACACAATGTAAAGATCGGTTAGAAATAGTTCCAAATTAGTTAATTGAATTGACTCTATTTTAAATACAAAATTAAAGCATCTACCAGGGTTTTATTCCCACAATTTGAAGTGTATCTTAAAATTGCTAAGCAGGACCATATTGTTGAACAGTTAGGATTAACACCCACAGGCATAACCTGTAGGCATT